TATAAGTAGGTTTTATAATTTAATTTAATTTGATTTAATTTAACTAAATATTTAAGTTCAAATTAAATTTAAATCTAAAAATTTTAAATCAAATCAAATTCAAATATAATCAAATTTGATTTAATTTAAAAATTTATAATTGAACATTCAAAATTATAAACTATTAACTTAAATTTTATTATGACAATTAACTTTTTTATTCTATAAAACTAGAAGTATTTTGTTTAAAAGAATACTTTTATTTAAAAGCTTAAAATTAATTAATATAGTATAAATTAAGTTTTTTTTACTAATTAAAATTTAAAAAATTAAATCAAATTTAAATATTTAAATTAAATATTTGATTAAATCTAATCAAATTAAAAATATATTTAATTTGATTAAATTTAAATTAATTTAATATTTAACTTAATTTAAATTTAAGAAACTCTATATATAAGTATTTAGAAGTTTTATATATTATAAAATAATTTTATATTTTAATTAAGAAATTATAAATAAAAATCTTATTTTAAAATAGATTTTTAACCTCTAGGGTTGATAGCATAGCAGTTATGTTCTAAGGTTACAAATTACAAGACTGTTAGTTTGAATTCTAATGATGGCAATTGTAAAGATATTCTAAAAATAGAGAACTGCAACATTATAAAACCAGAAATCCAGAACATTCAAGAATGAACTTATTTCTAAAAATAATAAGTAATCTGCAGTTAAGAAGTTACACAGTAAAGAACACAAATTAAAACCTAATTTGGAATAACCAAAGTTGTAAGATGTAATATGAACCTGAAAGTCTGATACTTATAAATACTACATGAACTTATAGTACATAGTCAATTCTAAATAGAGCCTGGTAAAATCTTCTGATTCTAACAAAAGTTAGAATGACAAATTGTTTTTAGAAAGTTTAAAAATACAGACTAAAGAAGATCAGGATTTAGTAATCTTTAATATTAAAAACATTGTTTAGAAATAAATACAGACACAAAAAATTTTAGTAAGATTGTTAAAAAAATAATAATAATAAATTTTTATTATTATTATATTAATAATAATATTATTTTTTATTATTATATTAGTTATAAGTTATAATCACTTTAATGTTTTAAACATCTTAATGCTATAAGGCTGTAATATTTAGTTACTTAGTTATTTAGTTGCTTAGTTGCTTAGTTACTTAATTATTTAGTTATCTAGTTACTTAGTTATCTAGTTACTTAGTTATTTAGTTACTTAGTTATCTAGTTACTTAGTTATTTAGTTAATTAAAAAACTTGTTATTTAATTACTTAGTTGTTTAGTTATTTAGTTATTTAACTGCTTAGCTTACAGATATATATTTTTTTATTTAAAACAAACAACAAACTATAAAAACCAACTATTTCTTTTTTTTAATTTTATGAATAATATCTAAAACCTTTTAGAACAGATATCTAAGAATAATTTATAGTTTTTTTTTAATATTAAGATAAATATTTGTAATTTAAAATTTTATTAATAGTATGTTTTGGTTAATAGTTACATTATAATTACAAAAGATAATTATAAAAAAAGTATACAATTAGCTATTTATACAACTTTAGTCATTATCTAATTTAAGTAATTAATCTAAAAGTTTTATACTAGTTTCTATATCTAAAATCTGCTTATAAATTTCTTATTTAAATACTTTAATTCTTGTATATGCCTACTTACTTTATTAATTGTCTAATTATTACTAGTACAAATATTATGATTACAAAATTTTTAAAGCAGTTTATTTATTTAAAAAACCTTTGACTTTGTACTAAATCTATTAGATTTTTTTGTATTCTATACTTATAACTAACCTAATATTATTATAACCAAGACCAATACTTGTAATTAAAACTAATTATTAAATTACTATACTCTTGTAAAATTTATCTAAATTTAGTATTTATCTTTTTAAATTCTTTTTTATTATTTTTTGCTAACTACTATTTAGTCTCTTTAAACTATTAATCTAGATGTATATTTCTATATTTTTTTTCTTTAACAATTCTGGTAGTCTGGTTTATTATATGCTTTTCTTATATATTTTGTTATCTGATTTATCTATCTATTTTTTTAAAAATATTTTGTAATCTTTTATTAGTTTAATAACATTATTAAAAGTTTGTACTATGTTTTTATTTAAGAATTTCTAAATAAGCTTCTGTTTTTTTAGTTTTTTAATTTTTTATATCTGTTGGTCTTATTGTATATTTGTACTAAAGTCTTATATAATATAATTTTTTTTAACATTCTTCTATATATATATAATATTATATTTTATATAAATACTATAAGCTCTTAATGACAAGTAAGACCTAACTAATGTATTCAAGATTACAAATACATAAGTTTAATTAATTAAAATACAGTTACTATAATAAAAGTTAATTTTTTAACTTTTTGTTATCTATAAAATTTGAATATTAGATTTACTACTTGAAAGTTAACAATATATTCATTTTACTAGGTTAGTATGCTCTCTAATAATTTTTTTTTTTAATATTAAGATAAATACTTGTGATCTAAAATTTTATTAATAGTATATTTTAATTAATAGTTATATTACAACTACAAAAGATAATTATAAAAAATATATATAACTTATTATTATATAACTTTAGTTATTGTCTAATTTAAGTAATTCATTTGAAGGTTTTATACTAGTTATTATATCTAGAACCTGTTTGTAAATTCTTTATTTAAACACTTTAGTTCTCATATTTATTTATCTACCTATTTTACTAACTATCCTAACTATTACTAGTACTAATATAACATAATTATAAAGTTTTTAAAGCAGTTCATTTATATAAAAACCTTTAACTTTGTATTAAATTTACTAAAACTTTTTGTATTTTATATTTATAACTAATTTAATATTGTTATAAGTTTATTTAAATTTTAGTATTTATTTTTTTAATTATCTTTTACTAACTACTACTCAGAACTAATAAAACTAATTAAAATAACCTAGTATAATATACTTTTGTATTGTTTTATTTTAGTAATTCTAATAGTCTAATTAGTTATATGCTTCTCTTATATATCTGTTATTCAGTTTATTTACTTGTCACTTTGAAGATAATTTATAGACTTCTATTGGTCTAACAATACTGTTTATTTTACTAGGTTGTTATATTTAATAATTTTTATTATTATTATTTTAATAAATAATTTTTATTATAAACTATTATATAATAATTATTAAACTGTTTTAAAAATAGATATAGTTTCTTAATAATATTTAATAAAAACTATACTTTTCTTTTAGACACTGTATATATTTATAAGAGATTCCTTATATTGTGTTATTATTATAGTATATAATTAAGAAGGCTTTCACTTTATAACAATATTATTCAAAAAACTATAAATATTTAGTACTAATTATTAAAAAAAATATTTATGCTATTATTAGTAAAATCAAAATCTGCTTTTATTTTGTTAAAATGTCTAATACTTCTTATAAACACTAAAAAACTGATTTAATAAAATTTTATATTTTAATAACTAATCTTATTTTTTTATTAAGCCTAAATAATTAGTTAATTTATATTTACATAGCACTTAACATATATTATTCCTAATACAATTCAGAAAATAAATTCTTTTTAAATTAAAATTTTTAAATTATATTTTAAATTATTTATTTTATTTAAGTGACATCTGAATATATATTTTTTGTTTATTATTTTATTATTAAAAGTATGCTTGAAATAGGTATATTTTGAAATACGATGTTTATTTTTTTATTTTTTTTTAGACAACATTTCTAAAAACAAATAATTTTATACATTATTATGTGTATAATCTATGAATAAATACATATATACTGAAATAAAAATTTCAGATATAAATTTAATTAATAAAGCATTAAGCAACTGTTTAATTTCTGTAAAAAGGTTTTAATTAATTTATTTATTTTATTAACAAATTATAAAAATCTTAAAAATACTAATTTTTCTTATATTAGTTTCAGAGATCTAAACAGAATAAATGAAATCATAAAAATTGATATTTCCAAATTTCTATTATTTTTAGAAGTTATAAAGTCAGATTATCTAAATATTAACCAACTGTTACAAACTGTATGAGATAAATTTAAGGATCATATAATACAGTAAGATCAGATCTGTCTTTCAGTTATCTTCCTTTATTTATAATCTAAATTGAGATCTAAACCTGATGGTTCAAGTTAAAAATAATGCATGTATACAAGTTTAGGTCAAATCAATTAAGCAATGCAAAATAAAAAAATTGAATCCTCAAACTATGCCCATCCATAAGAAGAAAAAAACGAATAAGAAAAAGCATAATTTAAGCAAAAATATATTAAATAATCAGTTAAATTGAGGAATTGTTTTTTTTTATATAATTTGTAAATTCTATTTTGCTTCAACTTTCATTATTTTATTTAGTATAATTTAAATATTAATAAGTATTAAAATATTAGTGTTCGCAAATTTTATTTTGCATTGGCTTTTATTTTTTTTTCTCTCATTTACGTAATTTGAACAATCGTTTAATTGAACCATCAATATAAACATTTAGCATAATAAATAAATATACTTTTAAAACTGACATTAGTATTTAGCATTTCAGTTTGTATCGACGCTGGGGTAAAGGTCAGACAGGAAATTGACATCGGTGGCTTAACCTGTCACAGATTTAAGTTACTAAATAAATTCGTTATGAATAATTAATAAAAGCATGTAACAATTTGTCGGACTCACAAAGGCACATTTTGATTAAGACTGCCCCATTTTCATTTTTGGGCCTTTATCTGTAAATTTCCCTTTAGATATATATATATAAAGATTATTTATTTGGCCGAGAAATTTCTATTATTTCTTGGATAAAATTTGTATTTAATTTCGTTTATATTTTACCTTAAAACCTTGACTTATAACGTGACTATATACTCAACACTTTATTTCATTGATATATTTATATATTAAAGATACCCTTTAAACCGTGTTGACCATATGAATGCTAGGTAATAATACACGTTCAATCATATGATTATATGTTTTATAGTTTTATTTATTTATATTACAGTATTATATAGTAAAGAAATTATTATAAATGAGGATACTTATGAAAGGTAAATATTTTCTCTTAAATTTCCTCCTTAATTGAGTTCAACATTAAAATGATTATTAAAATAATTATTTTTTCGTTATCAGTCCAAGTTTTGAGTTCGTCGGCAGTGATTATGGAATATGTCTAAACTGTAATAAACCAAATACAAGTGCTGATTGGTGTCTTATATGTAATGCAGAAAGATTTCGTCAGAATTTTGGTAATTGGACAAGTGGTAACGAACATATAGATAAATTTATTCAAGATGCTCAATTAGATGCCATGGATAAGCGAGAAATTTTAGAATGGATACCTTATGAAAAATTAAAACATGTTACCTACGTTGCTAAGGGCGGTTATAGTACTATTTATAAAGCTATTTGGACTGATGGTCCTATCACAGAATGGAATCTTGAAACCCAACAATGGGAAAGACGTAAATTTATGTATGGTGACAAATGTGAATTCATTACAGCAATGGATAATATTTTTTCTGGTACCTTTGGAATCTCGGTAGCTTTGAAATGTTTACACGATTCTTCAAACGTTGGTGAGGATTTCTTGAATGAGGTATGCACATATATACATACATACATACATACATACATACATACGTACATACGTGCATGCGTAAGTACGTACACTCATTAGATTTCTTATGGTCAAAATATTCTAATTCACATTAATTGCATTTAATCAATTATTTAATTTAAAACTGATTAAAGTGGAAAACTCATTTAAAATGTTATAAAGCTAGTAATTGTTCATTAATCCGATTGATTGGAATTACTAAAGATCCTGTAACATCAGATTATATGGTAGCAATGGAATATGCTGCTAATGGAAGTTTAAGAGATGAATTGAAAAGTTTGGTTCAAAAAAATTGGTATGTGCGATTGAGAAGATTATTAGAAATAATAAAAGGCCTTACTGTGATTCATCTGCAAGGTCTTGTTCACCGTGATTTACATAGTGGTAATATCCTTCAATTACAAGAATATTATTATAATGTTCGTACTTTATTGATAAGCGATTTAGGCCTTACTCAACCAGTTAATAAATCCTCAAAGAAAGGTGAAATCTATGGTGTTTTGCCTTATGTGGCTCCTGAAGTTTTAAAAGGTAATCCATATACTCCAGCTGCTGACATATATAGTTTTGGAATGATCATGTGGGAACTTACTTCTGGAAGGCAACCTTTTGATGATACTCCTTATGATATGACTCTCTGTCTAAATATAATTCAAGGAGCTAGACCAAAAATTATTGACAATACTCCAAAATCTTATACTAATTTGATGCTGAAATGTTGGGATTCTGATCCTTTAAAACGACCAACCGCTTTAGAACTTAAAGAAACTCTTGCTATTTGGAAAAAAAAATGTAGTTATTATTATTTTGACGAAGAAGAAGAAAGATCATTCGATGAAGAATATATCAATGATATTGTCAATGATGAAATTATAAATGCGACTTTAGAATTTAGAGAAGCTGATGAAAACTTGGAGAGATTTCAAAATTATGATGATAATGTTGATGATCCAAAATTCTTCAAACACCCCGAAGCATGTTATACTAGTCGTCTTATTTCATTTCCGGGAATTAGTACTTTAACAAATACTCAAGATTTTACTGGTATAATATATAAATATCCTAATATGTATACTGTAATTTTTATGCTAATTAAATAATTATATACATTCATCTTTTTTACTTTTGATATTGACAGCATCCCTTGCTGCTCTTACTTTGGATAATTCTGGTAAGTTATCTTATAAATTTAATATCTTTTTCTTCATAATTATTTGTGATTTGGGCTGCCATCAATAGGAATCAGGTAGATTGACATTTTTAAAAAAATCAATACCTTACCTTTCACAGTTCATATCTTGATGAATTTAGAATCTAGTTTAATTATTTAATATTCAAAAGGAAGCTTGAAATCTAAGCTTTCTTTTGACTATTTAATAATTAAACTGGCATCAAAGTTCATCGAGATATGAGCTGTGAAAGGTAAGATATTGGTTTTTTAAAAAATGTCAATCTACCTGATTTCTATTGACGGCAGCCAATTTATTAGTTGAAGATCCTGAAGATGAAATCTTATAATTTTTATTATAATTTATTAGTTGGGGATCCTGAAGATGAAATCTTTTAATATTCATTATAATGCTAACACAACTCTGACTTTCGTTTATGTCACAATTTATGTAATTTATATCAGCTCAATTTATGATCTAAATATTTATTACATTGAATTAAACATATTTATATAATATATTAATAATATCTAAAATTACCATCAATAATAATGGCTATTAACAATAAGGTATTTGTAAGTTTTTCAAAAATGGTTATTGTTATCATTATTATACAATTTTTAAGAATAGTATTTAAATAATAATTCTATTAAACTATATTATTTTTTTAAGAAAATAAATTTACTATTATTATTATTAGTGTTATTTTGTACTAATGTTAACAGTGCGATCTGGTTTATTTCGGTCCAATCTCGGTCAAGTTTTAGTAGCCCACAATCCTAAGAATTAACTGGTCTGGTCTTAAGATAGAGAGCAGACTTTTTTTTTGAAGTTTCGGACCGGCCTTAAGACTGTAGTCCATCAGTTTAAACCAGTTCACATAAAATCCCTACTAACGTTATTAAACGCAAACTAATAGTGCATATTATATATAAAACAGTGCATAAAAGATAAGAAATCTGCTTATACTTGATACTCATGGGATATTTAAACATCCTAATCTACTAACTTGTACTGTATTTTAAATATTAATCTTTATTGTATGGAACGTAGCGAAGGATTTACATCTATGCTGATATTTTGTCATTGTTGTAAGGATAGTCCGAGTTTGAGAACGGTTCGAAACTAAATGCCATTAATATCGTATAAAACTTCTAAACTTAAGTTTCGAATCTAATTTCATTTGCTCTGCAGATACACACGCACATACGCTATATAACAAAAACCTAATCTTAGTTTAAAAAGAAATAACTATCCGAATTAAAAAAAAAAAATAGATGTTTAGAGCTAGGTCTTCCTTAAATAAAAGGTTTCAGGATTTTAGTATCAGAAAGTTTCTCTGTCATATGCTCAACTTCGATCACAACTAACCACAAGTTGAAAACAATGATAATAAAAAAAAAAAGGATAAATATTACGAAAAATACAAAAAAAAGGATGTCTTGGAAACAGATTATTTAAATCCTAGCTCAAATGTATCTTTAGTTAATATTAATTGTGGCAGCTTATATTGAGATCGGATTATACTGAGATTTTGATGTTTTTATTATATAAAGTTGTGAAATTTTTGAGTGATCTTTTTGTTTCTTTTTTATAGTTGAGGTTTCATAGTTTAGATTTAGGATCATTGTTATTAATAAAAGAGTATATGTGGATTTTAGTAGGTATTATAGATTTTAAATAGGAACCCCAAATCTCAGCAGAAGCTACCACATTAATCAAATGGCTTAACAGTTTCGTGCCATATTCACTTAACGCATGATTTAGTAATTGAAAATATTGAAACAATATCGAAATTATATTACTTAAACTACTGTAATAACCAGTAGTGTATGTGTAAATTGGACCAGACTGATCCGGATTGGTCTGGTCTTAAGATTAATCATGGTCTATTGATATAAGACAAGAGCATATAACATCCTTAGTATGTGCCTTCTAAAATCGAAGTCAAGTAATAGGGACGATCTACGAACACGCACCAATTGATATGACTTGCACGTACCCTAACTTTAGGGTAAGTATATTAGCACATGACAGGTTTTATATTTAGGGGACGTCTAAAGCGGAGACAACTCATATTTAATAAAGTTTTCGATTAACTTTAGGATTCGGGTCTCCTATTTCAGGGTTAGTTTAGATTTTAGGTGGTTATATATATGCAAATTAACTAGTTTTAAAAATTCAAGTTTATCACATGAAAATTCTATGCGAAATTACCTTTCCGACATTTTTAATTAACCTACCCAAGGCAGGTTTAGACTACCGTTTTTTGTATTTTTTGGGTCTTTCGTTTTTATTTCTTGTTTTGCTTCATTGGCGATCATCAAAATTCTATAATTTGATTGGCTGTTTATCATGTGATTTGTCTCAACCTTTATATTTATAATAGATCGGAAAGTCTACGGACACGTACCAGTCACCTAAATGTTATGGACACGTACCAATCGCCGATCTTAGTTTAGGGTACATGCGGTTTCACGTGACTTGTACGTGTCTGTAGACTTTCGCATAATAGATGCATGCAAATCACATGAATTAGCACATGTCTGTAGATGGTTCACAATGGATTACATATGTATACATGAACAAATTTCAAACCTCTAAAAAATAATTGCTAATTATAAGAAGTGTAATGGCTTAGTAAAGTGAATAATTTGTTAACCTTTCAAGTGATAGGTTGTAAGTTTAAAACTCATCAATGGTAAAAATTTAGATAATCATCTATGTAATATATAGTGGTATTATATCAATAGCATTTTGTTAATCAGTTGAAATAAGATATCTGTAACTATGATCATACTAACATAATTGGCAGGTTATAGAGTATTTGTAAAATCTTAATTACACAAAAGAATATTAATTAATGCAAATCTAAGATAAGTTCTTGTAGTTATATAAATTTATAGAACTGAAAAAAACTAAAGTTCACTTAAAAAAATCCAAATAGAAAAATAATATAGATCTTTAATAATATTATTATAAAAATTAGATCTAGAAAACAGATACTATTATAAAACAATTTAATAGATAAAAACCTTTAAGTAAAGAATATCATTAAATAGGCTGTTAGATTGAATTAAAAAAAAAGATATCAGGTCAAATTCAATATACCAGAAACAAATCACAGTTCTTTTAAATTATTTGAATTAAAAATCTAAGAACAAAGCATAAAATACTAAAAGTACTAAAGATATATTATGAAATAAATATTAAGATATAAGTAATCTCTATAAGGACAAGTTCTTTTAATAGTCTGTAAAGTAAGTAGATAGTTAATAAAAAAGACCTCTTAAGACTTACTAGTAGATGTCATGTTTTAAAATATATAACAATTTAAGAACTAATTTAAAAAAAATAATACAGTATTGCTCTAACAGTATATTAATTAAGTATATACAAAAGGTTTAATAGTAGTTAATAGTTAATAGAACAAATAATCAAAAAATTTAAATAGATAATCTTCTAGTAAATTATAAATATAGCATTTAGTATAAAACTCTAAGACAAACTACTTAAATAAGTAATCAAAAATTGTATATATAACTAGTTGTACTTTTTTTTATATAAAAATAATATAAACTAACTCTAATATGTTAATAAAAATTTATCATAAAGTAGTTTTTAATAAAAAAAAATTACTAATTATAAAAAATTAAATCAAACAAATAATTTTAAAATTTTATAAATATATTATTTATAATTATAAAAATATATTTGATTTATCTAAACAATGATTATTAATTAAATTTTTGAGTTACAAATTTAATCAAACCTTTTAAATTTGTCTATTTTAAGTAAATTTTAAATAAATAAACTTAAGGGTCTAGCCAAATTTATAACTCAAAAATTTTATTATTAATTATTGTTTAAATAAATTAAGTATATTTTATAACTATAGATAATATATTTATATAATTTTAAAATTAATTATGAAAAAAATCAATAGCATCAACAACTTTTTCTAACGATTATTCAAACCAAACTTTTCAAAAAGCTAAACTACAGAAAAACAATATAGTTAATATATTAAACTTTATAAAAACCTTTTCAAAGTACTGTACACATATAGTTGAACATTGAAATAGAGTTAAAAAAGAAGTTGCAGCTTTGTGGTGACAATTTAAATGCACTTTGGAACTATAGAAGAAGTAGTTGGTAAAAGCCAAAGTTTTTTATAAAGTAAACAACAAAGTTGGATATATTAGTTCTATACAATTGTAAAACCTACAAGGAACACCTATAAAGGTCAAGAACTCACAAAAGCTACAAAGTTGGTTTACCTTTCGCCTTTACTTTGCTTCGAGGAAATTTTGTAAAAGTGGGTGATTTAGCTTACCCCCTTCTAAAGATCGATATATAAAACTATTAAAACAGTTAGCAGTATTTACTTACTAAACGTGTTTGTTGATGACATAAATCAAAACAAGACAGTAATATAAACATGACTATACATGTGCCTCGAAATACTAAAAAACCTAAAAATACTGCTTCTAGACTAACTAGTACTATATACCGACCCTCTATAATCAAGTCGAAGAATTTTTCTTTTCTACATAGTTTTTTGTTAAATAATCTAAGTAAATAGGAAAATATTAGTTATTTCTATTTAGTATAGTTTATAATTTTTAAAGGCTTGACATAGGCATACAATTATGACTGTCTGATATTTGTGAATTGCAAGTTTCACATATTTTCTTTTTTCTTGTTTATTCCTTTTCTTCTTTTATTTCTTAATTTATATCTTTTATCGGTTACCTCTATACCTCTGTTATGTTTTTTTACATAAAAATTCTTTTTTTTTTGTTTTTTGCTTCTCTACAAAAAGATGTCATCAAATTGGCGATGTCCTATTGTAGAGTGACAGTCAGATGAGCAGTCTATCTCTAACTGGAATAGTGTGGCAGGTCGTACTTAGGTACTATTTGGGTGGCTGGATAATGCTAGACATGTATATTAGGAAAATTCTATGTAATTTGTATAGTTTCAAGAATCCTAATAAAGTACTAGCATTACTGCTAAAATTAAAAAAAAAAATTTAGCAAAATTTGAAGTTTCTGCAAACTTTTTGTTTCTTATATAATAACTTTAGAATTCTAAAATAGTAATAACTATCTGACTTTTAAAAATAAATTTATATAAAATTTTTTTTCTTTAAAATATTTATTTTTACTTATAACAATTTGAGTTTACTTTGGATTTTATATTTATTTTTTTTTATTTTCTGGTTAGATTAATATTTAAAAATTCTTTTAAATAAAGTTTCAAATTTTTTTTTTTAAAAAAAGAGTCTAAAACAATATAGTAACATAGTAGTGCCATAAGAAATCGGCAGTCATATGAGAATCATCATAAAGAATCCAAAGTTAATTGGTCAAAAATTTAGCACATTAGTCACATG